TATCGATCACAGCTGAGAGGACGGATGTATCGATCACAGCTGAGGACAGATGTATCGATCACAGCTGAGAGGACGGATGTATCGATCACAGCTGAGAGGACGGATGTATCGATCACAGCTGAGAGGACGGATGTATCGATCACAGCTGAGGACAGATGTATCGATCACAGCTGAGGACAGATGAATCGATCACAGCTGAGAGGACAGATGTATCGATCACAGCTGAGGACAGATGTATCGATCACAGCTGAGAGGACGGATGTATTGATTCCCGCTGCTTATAGACAGCCTCAGGACACAGAAGCAGGACGAGACATGGTGTAGAAGTCACAGGTGTGTTAACGGAAATACACTGAACATGGTTACAATCAGTATGACATCACTCAGACGTGCCAATCACCAGGACCCTTCCATGATGTAATCTGTAATCACCTGGCGAGAGAGGACATCCTGCGTGGGGGTGTTTGTTTCAGTGGCTCGTTAGGTGACACTGTCAATGGTATATCATATTGATTGATTGGTTGTAAATGTAATAACATTTTGTGACTCTTTTCCTGCTAAACCTTGTTAAATTACTGTAACACCTTACCGCAAACACTGACTATCCTGGTGTGTGTGTGTGAGTGTGTGTGTGTACACCCGCACACTCACACACACACCAGTGTTTCCCATTAATTAACGAAACTATGGCGGCCCGCCATAGTTTCTAAATAAAAGATTTAGGCTGCCGAAAGTATTGACTTCTCATGATATAAATAATATCTCGAACGCCGTAGCATTTTGTGCCGATGTGCTCAGGCTGTCAGATCCAGTGCTCAAAAGTACGAGCGTTTCACTCGACTAAAAATACGTGTGTGCGAACAGTAAAAAATATTTAGGGGCACATGTGTGCATAAAAAAAAAATAATAATAAAAATATGATAATCTAACCGCAAATGTTGGAGGAACTCCAGCCGCCTTCCCTCTTCCCTCTTCCCCGTGTGACACGGTTATGGGCAGTTTTCCAAGCCACTGTCGGCACAATGAATATAAGTCCCACTGTCGGCTGGGTGGAAATAAGTCAAAGGGCTCTAGTTTCCTGGCGCAGCGCAGGGTGGCGAACCCCGTGCAGAGCTAGTTTCGAGCAGCGCAACCTGAGGCGCGCTCAGTTTGGTAGTTTGGCAGACCGAGGTGCGCTGAGATGGGTGTGGCGGCGCAGCAGGGGGAGGTGTCGACAGATCCAGCTTGGCGCAGTGACAGTTTCGTGCCAAAAGGCTTCGCCGAAGGTGCGCTAAAAGCTCGCCAGCTGAAACCAGGTCTACTGTCAGCGCAGGGGGAGCGCAGCCGGTGTAAGCCGAAGTTTGGTTGACCGGCAGACAGTGCGCACACGTCACCAAAACCTCACAGGCAGGTTTTCAGAATATCAGGCACATTAACGATGCAATAAATAGCCACAAAACACTATTCAATGCAACTATCTGCAATCAGCACATAAATGTATCTCTATATCGACTGTCCTGTCACATGTGATGTCAGATCAAAGGGGATTGGCACCGTTTGGCACGTTTGGCACGCGTAATGGAAACCCAACCTGATTTGATTAACACAGCTGCAAACTAATGAGTTCACATCCCTCTCAGCCAACCACAAACAGCCACAGCATCAGATAGGGAGTATATATTCAGCATCTGTCATCTTAGAAAAGTCAAAAGAAAAGAAACAGAGTGAGACTGTAAGAGAGAAAGAGAGAGCGCATGCACGAGAGAAACGCAACATTGATTTACAATTGTGGTGACCTCCTCCCAGGCTACCTTTGCATCATCAGCCCGTGGAGGTCTGCTCACAGTTCCGTATATTTGGACACTGCGAGCTTGGACCTCCCGGACCAAAACATCAGTTTCCTCCTGGGAGAAGTTTGGCCGTCTGACGCTGCTGCTCTCTTCTGCCATGGCGAGTTGAGTAAACTGTCATTACGTCTTCGCACAGCACATTTAAGGGCGAGGAGAGGGGCTCATTTGATTGGTGTGATGTGTGTAAAACCCACTCCACGCCTTCTCTCCTCCCTCTTTCCGACTTGCGCAGGTAGGAGGGACGGAGGTGGGACAGAGGACTAGCTGCGCCAGCGCGCATGGTGTGCCAAACTTGCAAAATCCACCTGGCCACACCCAGTTGGCGAAACGCAGGTGCGCTGCGCCTCCACCTTGCCCGGTCTGCGAAACTAGAGCCCAAAGTGTGGAGAAGAGGGACCGGGAAAAGCAGCGGACCTCCAGGGAAGCCTGCTCCGTTCTCCCCACAGTTAGGGACCGTTTGCCATGGTACTGCTGCTGGGCAGGGTGGAAATAAGTCCTACAGAGTTACAGAGGACCTGGAGAATGTTTTAGGATAGTAATAACATTATATAAGATAATCATATTACAAAGATAATATAAGATTTAATAACATTAAAGACAAAATTAAATTGCAAAACTTTTCAAAACTTGCTGATTTTACCTTTCTGCACATTTTGTATCCAAATTCATTTCACTTTACAATGTTCAGGAATGTCTCTCTGCTCTCTCTGGATGTATCTGTATGCCACCTTCTGGGCGTACGCCACATTTATGAATGAGGCCCCAGGTGAATGTCCAGGTGTGAGTTCAGGTGTGAGTTACCTGGACAGACTCCACACCAGAGCCAGGTTGTCTTTTCCTCCAGAAACAAAATGGCTGCTGTCGTCTGTGAACTTCAGACAGGTGACATCCTGATAGTGACGACTGAGGACAGACAGCAGCTTACCTGTGGACACCTGAACCAACCAGAGAAGAGACATTACACACCTGAACCAATCAGAGAAGAGGAGGTAGACACAGTGACATTTGTGAACAGAGCACCTGATTTCAGCTTGATTTGAAGGTGCAAAAGAAGATTCACAGTTGTATTGGGTCAGCTTGGATCAGAAGAACCCTAGACCTGGGTCCAGACCAGGACCATGACCAGAATCTGGACTGTACGATATCATGTAACTAGCCAACTCACCTCCCACAGGTAAACAGCCTCAGCGACTCCAGCAGCGAGGAAGAGTCCGTTAGGTGATGCGGTCAGACAAGTGACCACACCTGGACACACCACCTTCTGCTGCAGCTGGTCCTGGACATCACGTCACGTCACACACACACACACACACACACACACACACACAGTCATGTAGTGTAACAAGTGTAGTTAATATATGGAGGTGTGTTGGAGGAGACTGTTTACATGATTCAAACATGATCCAAAATGTGTCTAACCGGCCTCCGTACACAACTACACATTTAAAGGGTTTTTTTGGGGAGTTTTTCCTTATCCACTGTGAGGGTCCTAAGGACAGAGGGATGTCGTATGCTGTAAAGCCCTGTGAGGCAAATTGTGATTTGTGATATTGGGCTTTATAAATAAAATTGATTGACTGATTGATTGATTAACACACCGACTGTTAAATAATCTAATTTCTAATTTAAAGTCAGTCACATAAAAGTCATGAGTTAAATCAGTTGGCACGTGTTGGTTCTTAGTCCTTTTTCAGCCCAAATCAAACAAAGCATGGCTGAGCAAAGTCTGTGACAACAGATCCCATTAAAACACAGGTAAATAAAGGTAGTTGATGATTCAGACGCCGAATTGACCAACAGACCCGGCTGGTTGGTGCTAAGTGTTTTTACAGGTTTAGGTGTGCTCGCAGGTGTGCCTCGCGCTTAAAATAACTGGTTTCTAAATGGACTTTGGTGATGCTTCTTTGTCTGTCTGCATCCACGTGTCTCCGGACGTTTCCCGCCACCTGTCCCCGCAGTGGACCCTATGTAAGTGAGGTGATGTGCAGCAGATGTGTTCGGCTGTGCTCACGTGTCTGCAGGTGTGTTCAGATACACGGTCAGTACCTTCCTCTGGATCTCCCACACGTTGATGAAGTTCTTCCCCAGCTGGGCGGACAGCAGGTACTCCCCGCCGAGGACGCTCAGTGTCCGGGCAGAGCTGTTCCCTCCCCGGTAGGACAGCAGGCTGGAGCCGCTGTGCAGGTCGAACACGGTGCTGTTCCACATCTGAGAGCCGGAGTCACTACTCACTATCACCTCCAGAGGAGCCGCCATGCTGGCTCCACCACAACACTCCGGCAGCGCGGGGTTCTGGCGCTGCGCTGGCTGCGTTGTTATGTCATTTCCTGGACCTGGTGCATTGTGGGAGATGTAGGAGTTAGATCGCCAACCAACTTTTTGTGTCTTTTTTTTGTAAAGTTAAAATTTCTTGTGATGTAAAATACAAATAAAATGTTTTACATAAATATTACGAACAAAAAGTACAAGAACAGGAAGTAGAAGAAACTTCAATAAACAGATCAACAGTTAAAACAGGAAGTGAACCTCTGAATCACATGTCACATCTCCATTAACAGTTTATTCTGTATTCTATCCTTGATTTATTTATTATTTGTTTATTTATTTTTTCCTTAACCATCTCTTTGTACTGATTTACTTTTTATTAAATATATATATAGATCTCCTAGATGTATATGCAGACGTGCAATAGATGTCGTACAGAACAGATCAACATGATACATTAACAGTAATCCGTATGACACAATGAGACAGAGAGAGAGAGACAGAGACGGAGAGAGAGAGACAGAGAGAGAGAGAGAGAGAGAGACAGAAACAGAGAGAGATGCAGGACAGACGGTAATGACAGTAGCTTACAACAACATTAAAGCTCCAGTAGGCAACATTGTTTTGGTATAACTGAGTAAAATATTTAATATCCTCTAAGCATAATGTAAATCACGTGGTCTGAGACAAACAATAGGTTTCTGCACCTCACCATGACTCTGTGTTCAGCCTGCTGCGTGGTGAGGGAGAGCCGAGGCTCCCATAGAGGGAGAAATAGAACCAAGTAGGATAAAATACTCGAGTGCTCGTCTGGTAGGAGGGGCTCAGGGCGGAGACGAACGAAACCTAACTCAGATGAGACTCAAAAATCAACCGTTTTCAGGCTTTCTACCTACTGCAGCTTTAATTAAAGTAATAATATTATAATAATAATTACGGCAATAGTGGTACAATATGTTGAAAGTATATATTAATATATGATATGATGTTAGTGACATGCAGTACAGGCCAGTTAGCAAGATGCAGTAACAGGACATGAGTGTTAGCAAAGGAGAGAGTGCCTCCCGGACCGTAACAGGAAGATGATTCCACAGGAGAGGAGCCTGATAGCTGAAGGCTCTGGCTCCTGATCTACTTTTGGAGACTTTAGGGACCACGAGTAACCCTGCGTTCTCAGAGCGCAGTGTTCTGCTGGGATAATATGGCACTATGAGCTCTCTAAGATATGATGGAGCTTGACCATTTAGAGCTTTATAAGTTAACAGTAGGATTTTAAATTCAATTCTGGATTTTACAGGGAGCCAGTGCAGAGAAGCTAAAACAGGAGAAATATGATGTCGTTTCTTAGTTCCTGTTAGTACACGTGCTGCTGCATTCTGAATTAGCTGGAGAGTTTTTAAGGACTTACTAGAGCTACCTGATAATAGAGAGTTACAGTAATCCAGCCTTGAGGTAACAAAAGCGTGGACCAATTTTTCTGCATCTTTTCGGGTCAGGATAGGCCTAATTTTCACAATATTACGCAGATGAAAAAAATGCAGTCCGTGAGGTTTGTTTTAAATGAGAATTAAAAGACAAATCTTGATCAAATATTACTCCGAGGTTTCTTACGGTAGTGCTGGAGGCCAGAGCAATGCCATCCAGAGAAATTATGCCATCCAGAGGCATTTCTAAGGGAAGTGCTTATTTCTACCTCTGATTCTAGGGGTTATATATTGTTTTTTATACTGGATGGTCCTGATTTTAAATTTGTTCATTGCAGCAGTACCCCATTGTTCTGCCTGACGGTTTCCGGAGCCGTGCGATGCTGGATGTCAACCAATGGTTTCAACACATCACTGTCTGATTTTGACAAGCTCAGTCTTCGCATGATGAAGGGAAGTGCTTCTTTCCTGGCTGCTCTGTTTTAAGTTATCATTCTAGACCCAGACTGGTCCTCATCTTAGGTTTTAAATTAGCCTATTTCATTAGCAGCGCTGTTCTGCCGGTTCTGACTTCCTGGTTGTGAGTGAGTGACTGAGTGAGTGACATCACGCACGGGATTCCCTTCGGGCTGACGACGGCGGTCATCCCCAACTCACAAAGCTAGACTGTGCTACCGTGCTAGCTGCTATTTCGGACTTGTTGCTGGGAACTGAGAGACAATATTGCTCAAAGCCAGTTTTTTATTTGTCCTCCTCATGGGCTCTTTGGTCAGGACTCGTTACGGCTCAACCATAGTCCTGCATTCCCGGGTCTATTGGGATCACTCCTGTCATTATGACAGTGCAGCCCGCTGGGTTCTGCATTGTTACCCAGCCTTTAACTCTCACCACTGAAGCTATGGACTTAACGCGTCTGCTCAGCCTTATGGCTCTAAAAGACAATTTTACTGTTTCTTCAAGTTGCACTCGTGTCTTTGTATTAGGAATATATACCAAGAGAGATACTTTAATTAAACCACTCAGGTTTAATATAGCTAAACAGAAATGGTTGATTGTTTTATTACTATTTATGTCTGGTAACGTGCAGCCTAATTGTGGTCCTGAGCTGCAATGTATTTCGACCCCAGCTAATTTTAAACATCTGTCTGACTTAAGTATTATTCATCTTAATGTACGCAGCTTGTTATCAAAAATGGACATGGTTCGAATATGGGTTAATTCAACTGAGGCGGACATTGTTGTAATATCTGAAACTTGGTTAATGAAATCAGTTTCTGATTCAGATATTGACATTGATGGATACAATGTTTATCGCTCTGACAGACTTAAGAAAGGAGGCGGTGTTGCTATTTTTGTCTCCACACCAGGGTTGTTCTGTCTGAATATGTAAGCACTTGGAATTCCTGGCTTTAAATGTGGAAATTGCCAAAAACATCAACATAACTTGTTGTTGGTTGTTATAGGCCTCAGTCTGCCTCAAAAGATGCATTGCATTCTTTGCCACACCTTTTATCCAGACTAAAGTACAATGAACTTGTTTTAGCTGGTGATCTAAATTGGGATTGGCTTAAGCCAGTATCTGATGAGTTCAAATCCTTTTGTGATTCTGTCAATCTTACCCAGCTGATTAACTCACCCACTCATCCAAATCTTAAATGTATTGAGAAGTCCACCTTAATTGACTTGATTCTTATAAATGTTCCTCATAAATTTTCAGCTATCGGTGTGTTTTGCAATGACTTAAGCAGCCACCGTGTTGTTGCTGCTCTAAGGAACACTAAGGTGCCCAAATTAAAGCCACTTATTGTTCCTAAGAGGAATCTTAAGTTTCTCTTCTAGTTTCTCTAAATGAGTTTAAATCTAAACGTAGGGACTTAGAGGCAGCTTCTTTAAGCTGTCAGTGCTCTTAATTCTGTGCAATGAACTAGTTTAAGTAAAATTATTACTAATTTACTCTTTTTACTGTATGTACTCCTATGATGTTGTCCTTTTTATGTTATGTCTGTAACTTTTTTTTATTTTATGCTGCTGCTTGTCTTGGCCAGGTCTCCCTTGAAAAAGAGGTTTTTAATCTCAATGGGACCTCCTAGGTAAATAAAGGTTAAATAAAATAAATAAATAAACAGACAGTCCTACAGACAGGAAACAGAGCTGGTGATGATGCTAAAACACCTTGTTGAAGGAACCATTTAAATAATCAGATCCTGATGAATGACTGAAGTGTAAAATCTTTACTGAGAATAAAATGACATAACAACTAAAACCATCAACTCACTGAGGACTGGATCCAGAATCACAGTCAAACACTGAACTCACAGTGTGTGTGTGTGTGTGTACCTGCTCAGGTGTGTCTGCTGCTGTCAGCTTCAGGTCTTGTAAATTAACATCCAGGGAATAAAATGTTGTGTTCACGCATGAGTCTGTCTTAATGACAGTCAGAAGAGTGGAGGAGCAGAGAGGGGGCGACGAGGGCTGGAATCAAACCTGCGGTCTCTGCAGCATAAACATTACCTTTGTATATGGGGCTCCTGCTCTACCTGTGCTGACAGGTGACTGGTGGTCGTGCAGCACACCTGGGTCGAGCAGATCTGATTCATAATGTTTATTTCTGTTGTTATTTTTTTTGTCATGACAGAGATTTAAGAGGATGCTGCTGCATGAGGACCAATGACTCACATGATCAGTCTCACCTGAAGACCACACACACACACACACACACACACACACACAGTAACACACTGTCAGTGAGTGCTGATGTAAACAGTCTGTGGTCTCGTCAGGTTAATTACTTCTGACGAGCTGCTCAGTTTAATCCTCCTTCTTCTATCAAACCGACCAATCAGAGCTGCTGATGTCATCCTCTCCCCTCCCCCAACCGTTGTATGTGTGTGTGTATTCAGTCTCTTTGTGTCAGCTTGGTTGCCGCGGCAGCAGCATTGTGAGGACAGAGCTCGTATGAAGCGTCGCTGCGTTCCACTGAGAGCCGACCATGACCTGCTGACCCCCGACACAGACACTCTGTGAGTAACACACACACACACACACACACTAACACACACACACACGTACTGGTACAGGTGTTTTTTTTCTACATACCAGTTCAGACACAGGTATATGGGAACAGAACTGAAACGGTGGTCATGACATCAGGAAAAGTCTGTTCAAAGAGTGCGAAGATTCGAAAGGGCTGTAGGGACTCTAGGGACCGTGGGGACTGTAGGGACTGTGAGGACTGTAGTGACTGTAGTGACTGTGAGGACTGAAGGGACTGTGGGAACTGTAGGGACTGTGAGGACTGAAGGGACTGTAGGGACTGTAGTGACTGTGAGGACTGAAGGGACTGTAGGGACTCTAGGGACCGTGGGGACTGTGAGGACTGCGAGGACTGCAGGGACTGTGGGGACTGTAGGCACTGTGGGGACTGTAAGGACTGTGGGGACTGTAGGGACTGTGAGGACTGTAGTGACTGTGAGGACTGAAGGGACTGTGGGGACTGTAGGGACTGTGAGGACTGAAGGGACTGTAGGGACTGTAGTGACTGTGAGGACTGAAGGGACTGTGGGGACTGTGGGGACTGTAGGGACTGTGAGGACTGTAGAGACTGTACGGACTGTAGTGACTGTAATGACTGTGAGGACTGAAGGGACTGTAGGGACTGTGAGGACTGTAGGGACTGTAGGGACTGTGGGGACTGTAGGGACTGTAGTGACTGTAGTGACTGTGAGGACTGAAGGGACTGTAGGGACTGT